GGTAAGAAGGCACCTGGGCCGCCACCACCGCCTGGGCCACCTAAACCAAAAGGACCGGCCAAGGCAGATGAGATTTCTTCTGCCATAGGCAAAAACGAGGATCCGGCACAGCCAAAGCTCAAGCCTTTACATTGGGATAAGATGAATCCTGATGCGGGCCGATCAATGGTGTGGAATCGGATCGATGGTGGCTCCTTCAAGTAAGTATAAAACGTCACAGTCACTGGTTTCTACTTATGTACTGAAGAATTCTGATTACTTATGCCCTAATTATTTGTTTCTTAAATTAGCTTTGATGGTGATCTCATGGAGGCTCTGTTTGGTTACGTTGGTGCTCGAAAACCAAGTGAAGGAAACAGTGTACCACAGAATCCAAATGTCTCAACTACTCAGACTTATATTCTTGATCCTCGGAAATCGCAGAACAAAGCAATTGTGCTTAAATCTTTGGGCATGACCAAAGAGGAGATCACTGACTTGTTAACAGAAGGCCATGATGCTGAACCTGATACCCTTGAGAAGCTTTCTGGAATAGCTCCAACGCCAGAAGAACAGACAGAGATCATAGAGTTCACTGGCGACCCGACGAAACTGGCTTATGCAGAATCTCAACTGTTTTACATTTTACAAGCTGTTCCTTCCGCGTTTAACCGGTTCAATGTCATGCTATTCAAGATTAACTACGGCTCAGAGGTTGCTCAACAAAAGGGATCTTTAAAGACACTTGAATCCGCTTGCAACGAGCTCCGTGCTCGTGGGCTGTTCATGAAGTTGCTTGAAGCAATCTTGAAAGCAGGAAATAGAATGAATGCTGGAACCGCTCGAGGGAATGCTCAAGCTTTCAATCTTACAGCTCTAAGAAAATTGTCTGATGTGAAGAGTGTGGATGGGAAAACTACTTTGCTTCACTTTGTTGTTGAAGAAGTTGTAAGATCTGAGGGAAAGCGAGCTGCAATGAATAAGATCTCAAATGATAATGCCGGTGGTGAGATTGCCGATGCATCTAGAGAAGAACAAGAGATTGAATTTATAAAGCTGGGTTTACCCATTATTGGTGGCCTAAGTTCAGAGTTCACCAATGTGAAAAAAGCTGCGGGAATCGATTATGACTCGTTTGTAGCCACGACCTTGGCTTTAGGCAACCGAGTTGTAGAAACAAAACGCCTTTTAGACCAAAGCAAAGGGAAGGAAGATGGGTGTTTGACAAAGCTTAGATCTTTCTTTGAATCAGCGGAGGAAGAAATGAAAGTTATTATAGAGGAACAAGGCAGGATATTGGAGTTAGTGAAGAAAACCACGAATTATTACCAAGCTGGAGCATTGAAAGAGAGGAACCTGTTTCAGCTGTTTGTTATAATCCGTGATTTCTTAGGGATGGTAGATAATGCTTGTAGTGAGATCGCAAGGAAT